GCAGGCGGGGAGCCTGTCCCTGCAGGGAGACTTTGCAGTGCCATGCTCCTTCATCTCCATTAGCTGTGGCTCCAGTTTCTCACATAGGCCTTCCATCCCTGATCACTCTATTAAAAATGAAATCCTGGTGTGAATCCTCCCCGTCTACCTCCCACTTAAGTTTTCTCCATAGCATTTCAACCTTCTAATACATTAGTGTATTTTACTTAATCATTTTGATTACTGTCATTCCGTCCACACTGGATGTAAGGCCCTTTGGGGGCAGGAATTCTAACCTGTGGTCATTGATGTCCCCCAGATCAGCACATAAGAATCTCATAAGAATCTCTTAATAATAGTTGCTAAGTAAAGTAAGGGTGAGCACCCACATTTTTTTGCTACTTCTGAGTGCTTGACAGTGTCTGGACTGTAGCCGTTTTTCATCTGAAGTCACAGAAGCCTGATAAGATGATTTCTATATCCATTTTAAAGATGATAAAGGTAAAGTTTCTAAGATTTGCATTAGTGCTGTTTTATTTCTGTGTAGACAGGACTTAGGATGGCTTTCTGTTTAGTGTGGAGACAAAACATGTTGGTATGTTTACTTGAGAGTGCTTTGAAGAATGCCTACTGTATACAGAATGCCCTTGGATTCCCCTAACCTTTGACGCCAGCCCTTGCGCAAGGTTTGGCAACTATTCAGAGCTGTAGTGGCATTTAAGTCAACCTGCTTAGGAAACTTGAGTACCACAGTTTGGCTCCGACGGAAATTCCTTCAGTGGAGAAGATGAGGACGAGACTGGTGATAAGATTGAGCTATATTGTGGAGTTTGAGTGCTTTGCTAAGAATGGGTCCACCTGTTGGTTCCCAAACCCATGGTGACTCTTAAAAATAACAATGAAAAAAACATTCATCTTACTGGGAGGCCCCACCCTCCACGTTCTGTTGGTGTAGAGACTTAACAGTCTTCTCAGGCGTTTATGGAGCAGGCAACCTTGGACTCCAGCCATCCACGGGTGTTTGGGAATAAATGTCATAGATCAGGACAAGCTGAAAACTAAAGGTTTTCCAACATGAGTCTCTATATTTAATTTCTGTTTTCACAATTTGCTTCTTGCTAAAGAATACCTCTGTTTCTGTGCACTGTGCAGTCAGGTAAATCTGGCTGGGGAGGGGCACGTCTCTCAGAGCCAAGTGCCTCGCCCTGCCTCACGGTGACATTCTTCTCTGTCTGTTACAGGTCAATGCACAAACTGGGCCAGTTGGAAAGACTCGACCTCGGCAATAATGAATTCAGTGAGCTGGTGAGCAAATGCTTTCTCTAAACTTGATGAATACGCTCCCGGAGATTCTTTCTTGTGCTCTAACTTCACACTCATAATGTTATTCACTTTCAATCAAGTGTCCGACCATTACTAATCATTGCTTCTCTGACAGTAAAAATTTTAATCAGAAAATAAGAGAGCTTGCTCTTTTAGAGGGATCTCTGAAAACGATGTCTTCTAGTGGAGAGGATCAGATTCCATCAACTCCTAGCAGGTTCTCCTCAGATGACTTATTTTCATATGACCTGGCAAAGGGAGGAGGAGACGGGAAGCTTAAAAAACTCAACTTTGGAAATCAAATGAAAACCAAAGTGTATTTGCTTGAGAAGTACTAATATTCCAAAAATGATCCTAAGTAGAAATTTCTTCTTATGGACACCTTTGTAAGTAAGAACAATTTTTTTTTTTTTTTTGAGACAGAGCCTCAAGCTGTCCCCCTGGGTAGAGTGCCATGGCATCACAGCTCACAGCAACCTCCAACTCCTGGGCTCAAGTGAGTCTCTTGCCTCAGCCTCCCAAGTAGCTGGGACTACAGGCACCCGCCACAATGCCTGGCCATTTTTTTTTTGGTTGCAGCCATCATTGTTTGGCGGGCCCAGGCTGGGGATTCGAACCCGCCACCTTAGGTGTATGTGGCTGGCGCCTTAGCCGCTTGAGCCACAGGCGCCAAGCCGTAAGAACAATTTTTAACAAAGAGAATCATCTTCTGTTTCTAACAACAACAGCCACCAGAAGTTAATGGGCAAAGTCCTGGGAACTTAATAGATTCTTAAAGTTCTTTTAAATTTTTTATTAATTGTTCTGCTCAATATAGAATCAATAAGTACTCATTGAGAAAATTTAAAAAGATAAAAGGAAATATAAAAATGATAGTAAAAGTCATTTATGATCTCATCCCACATATATACAATCATTATTAATATTGTCTAGTATCTCCTCCCCTTGTTCCTGTTTTCTTTTTATTAGGTCAAATGAGTGTGAGTTGGGGTCAGGTCAGAGTGAGAACATTATTAGGCGGATGGGTAAAACTGGGTAACAACAACCCTTAAGGAGCCTCCGTGTACTCAGGGAGAACAGCCTTCTAAGTTATCACAGAACTTATTCTAAGAATAACTGGGAGCTTCCCAACTGTTGTGGGCAGTCAGGGAGACGGAAACAGATTCCTCGCCCATCGTGGGCCCCAGATCCCTTACGGTAGATGCATTTTCATGTATGCATAGATCTGTTCAGTGAACCAGGTCCCCATGGGTCCCGAGCTGGTGGAGGAAACAATAGAGCCCCACAGAAAATCACCACGTGTGTGAAGCTTTCAGGAAAATGGAGCAGATCGAACAGCAGAGCTCGGAGGCTGTAGGGATCAGTGGATTGACTCAGAAGCACAGGGAGACCCTGACAACCAGCCCCCAGTCCAGACCCCACTTCCCGTAAGCCTCTCTCACTGCCTCTCTCCTCTTCTCCTGCTCAGAAAAGGAGAAGCTGTTCTAGAGAGGAGCGTGTCCCTCACAGCCCCAGCAGCTCTGTTATGGGAACTTTTGTCAGAAGAGTCAGCCCTAAGAAGCAAAATAAGTTTTCCTGCAAGCCAAGAAGAAAGAGCCCAGCTAGGGGAGGCTGACAGGGTGGGAGTGGGAAGTCTGTAGAGTTCAGGAATTCACATGACGTGGGCAGGAGCACAGCAGCAGCCCCCCACCACAGAGTGACAGGCACAGCACCGGGGAAGGCAGCAATCACAGGGATTACTGGAGCAGAGGCTCCGTTCAGTGGAGATTCCCGCCTCCCCACTCATGTCCCCCACCAAGAGGACGCCCTCAGAGAATAGTAAGAGACGAGGATCCCAGGAAGGGCCCAATTTCCTGGTCCCATGTTATTCAAGCAGAGGGAGGGTAGGTCAAAGAAATGACGTTTGAGAAGTTACTGGAGATAAGGCACAGTGCATATTGGTCAGGGGTGTGTAGATGTTTCTATCTACCACATTGGGATTCGAGCATGCGTTCTGAGACACAGTAATGCATGGTCTCAAAGTCAAATCATTAGATTCCCTATAGGCATTATAGTTTAAAAGCTTTCTTTGTTGCTTCCTAATTCACTTGAATTAACAAGACTATCAGATAATAGCTACAGTGTAAACAGTGAATTAAGACCTGAATTTGAGGGGGGGGAAGTAAAATCAAAGAGGCTTTATTTTTACAATATCAAGTTTGATGCATATAAAATGAATCTTATGTGTTTAGTCACAACCCATTGCCCTGTTCTCGTGGGCTGGAACACTGTCCGTCTGTGCAGCCACCGCAGGCTCATCCCCAGGCCCCACGTCTGCCTTACCACAGAGCTAGCAAGAAATCCTGAACTTGCTTGTCACTCCGTCACTGTAATCGTCCCCCATTTGCATGTGGAACTTTGGGTTTTGCTCAATTTTCTAAAATTGTGACCCTACCACAGCCTGTTTATCCTTCCTGTCTTCAAGGACACTTGTCTTCAGCTTGTTACACTTGTGCTGTGAACACTCTTCTAAGCGCATGTGTGCAAGAGTTTATCTAAGGCATACAGACCAAGTGGAATTTCTTGATCATAAATTATGCACATGTTCATCCCTAAAAAATTGCTATTTTAAAAAATAGTTGTACTCACTGACCAGCAAGCCATGAGCGTCACCATGCTTCACACCTTCCCCGACATCCAAGTGGTCGACCTCCCATTGTTGCCCGGATACTGGAAAGCGAATGTTACCTCACTAGGATCTTAGTTTGCACATCCCCAACTTCCAGTGAGACCAGTGATCTTTTTCTAGTGTTTGTAGCAGCTCGGGTTGCCTCTTCTGTGACATGCCTGTTTATGTATTTCTGGCCATTTTTCTAGTGGTTGTCTTTTGTGGATTTATAGGGATCTTTTACATATGTATTTTAGATATTAATTTTTTTAATTATAGATACTACAGATCTCTCCTCCCAGTCTGGGGAGAATCTTTTTACCTTCTACAAGGTATCTTATGATGAATAGAAGTTCCTAATTGTAATATAATATGAAGAATATATTTCTGTGTGTCTAGCACACTTTCTATCTTGCCTAAGAAGTCCTTTTCTCCCCAAAGTCAAAAAGACATTTTTATTTTTTATTCTAAAAGACGGAAGGTTTTCTTTTTCCTAAGTGTTTTCCATCTGGGCTTAATTTTTTGTAGTAGGTATTATTTTTTTCCAGATACTCAGTTTTCTAAGCAACATTGACTTCCTTTCCACATGAATTTGAATGTCACTTCCTAAGAAAATCATTTCCATACATTCATAAGTTGCTTTCCTCAGTGGGCAGTTACTTTCAGGGCACTAAAACCCCACAGCTTAATTAGTAGGATCAATAAGTTTTGATAGACCATGTCTCCCTAAATGCTGTTGGGATTTGATTAGAAATACATTGTCTCTATGATGCAATTTTTACTGGATTAACAATGAAGAATGGACATCTTTTGGTAAATTGAATCTTTTTATGAATAAATATGAAACAGTCTCCATTTATTTTACCCTTTTAATATCTTTCTGTTTTATCATTTTATTTAAAAAGGGGTTTGCATATTTTTAATTGGTTTATTGCTAAGTACCTTATCTTTCCATTGAGTTATAAATGCAGTTATAAACATCTTCAAAACTTGGAATCTCCAACTGCGTGTTGCAGACAGACACTAATCCACTTGATTTTTATTTATATCTAGCAATCTACTAAACTCTTTTAATAATATGATTGAGTTGCCTACAGATGCTTCAGGGATTTTGATGTAGCTAATCAGATAGTCTATAAATTATCACAGTTTGTTTTCTTGCTCCTCAATCTTTAAACACTTTATTTCTCTTTCTTGCCTTATGTGTGATTAAGATCTCTAGTACTATGTTTAAATGCAGCAAATATCATTGTTCAGTTTGGGGATTTAATGGAAATGCATTTAATGTCATTATGAATACTCTTTATTATCAGCTTTGGGTAGATTCTCTTTATCAAAATATACCTTTCTGTTTCTAAATGACTAAAAGAATTTATCATGAAGAAATACCAAACTACAGAATACTTCCTCAGCAGTTACTGAGATTACCTTTTTCCTTTTAATCTGTGAATTATATTTTGAATTTTATATATGGAGTTTATAGTGTAAAATTCTACTGTGAATTATCTATATGGAATTTACAGTGTAAAACTACTTTTGCATCTCTGTTTCTCTATTCTTATGATGTCTCATGTAGAAGCATGGCTTGCAGTTTCATCCAGGTTGTCCCAAAATATACTAGGTCACCATTTTTTACTACTGAGTAGTGCTCTGTGGTGTGCATATACCACATTTTAGCAATCCATTCATGTATTTGGTGTGCACTTGGGTTGTTGCCATGTCTTTGTGATTGTGAATTATGCTGCTATAAACATTTGAGATAAGATGTCCTTTTAATAAAATGACCTTTTTCCTTCAGGTTTATACCCAGCAGTGGGATTGCTAAATCAAATGACAGGTCTGCTTTCAGATCTTTGAGGTATATTCATACAGTTTTCTATAGAGGTTGTATGAGTTTGCAGTCCCACCAACAGTGTATAAAAGTTCCTTTCTCTCTGCATCCAAGCCCGTATCTGTTGTTTTGGACCTTTTTAACATGAGCCATTCTCTCTGAAGTCTGATGATACCTTGGTGTGGTTTTGATTTGCATTTCTCTAATAATTAGAGATCTTGGACATTTTTTCAAGAGTTTGTTGCCTGTTACTATATCTTCATTTGAGAAGGTCCTTTCGTGTCTTTTGCTGACTTTTTCATGAGGCTGTTTGGTTGTTTCCTGCTGATTTGCGTGATGCTTTGTACATTCTGGGTACCAGTCCATTATTACATGTATAGCGTACGAATATTTCTCCCATTCTGTGGCTTGCCTGACACTTTTTAATTTGATCAGGTTGCATTAATCTATTTTTGTGGTTGCTGTGATTGCTTCGGGGATCTTCTTCATGAATTAATTGCCCAG